GGGCACAGACCATGAAATCGCATTTCCCAACGAGTATGAAGTCCACAGCACACATTGGAGACATCGTTGTGACCAGAATTACAATGGGGGAACGATCCGGGCACAGACCGGGCACAGACCTTGGAATCGCATTTCCCAATGAGTATGCGGTCCGGACCGCACATTGGCGACATCCTTGTGACCAGAATTATAATGGTGCGCCCAGCCGCGCTCAGACAAAATGTACGTTTCACCACACGTTCGTGCACTCGACACGCACGATCTCCGCAGAGGGTTGCTCGAGGGCAAACCTTGAAACCAGAATTACAATGGGGAAACGCAAAATCGACAAAACCTTGTCACCAGAATTATAATGGCGGAACGCACCGCGCACACCAAAAATGTACGTTTCACCACACGTTCGCGCGATCGACACGCACGATCTCCGCAGAGGGTTGCTCACGGACAAACGCGATTCGCGTCTCACCACACGCGCGCGCGATCGATGGCCACGATTCCACGAGAGGGTTGCGTTTCGTAAGACCTGCTCGCACCGCCCCGCCGCCTAAAGAGAAGAATAAAGAAGAAGTTGGGTAGGTGAAGTTGGGTAGGTGTCTTAAGGAAGATGTCTACACCTACCTATCTTCACCTACCTATCTTCACCTACCTATCTACACCTACCTACCCACACCTACCTGTCTATACCCACTTATCAATACCTACCTATCAATATCTACTTCTGATGTACTTTGATATTGTTGATCTGATACTTCTACTTCATATGTTATGTTGTGATGTGATATTATTTTATCACATGATATGAGATGATATGATCTGACATTGATGTGATGTGATATGATATTAAAACATGATATGATATGATATGTTATGACATTGATGTGATGTGATATGATATTATAACCTGATATGATATAATATGATATGATATGAGATTAATAACCTATGAGGTGATGATTAGATGATGATGTTGTGAGGGTGAAGTAGGAGAAAGTTAGTAAAGAATATGAAGTAAGGAAGGTGAAGTAGGATAAAGAGAGTCAGGAAGAGAGAGTGGGGAAGATGAAGTAAGAGAAAGAGAGTAAGGAAGAGAGAGTGGGGAAGATGAAGTAAGAGAAAGAGATTAAGGAAGATGAAATAGGCAGCAGTGCTTAAGGAAAAACCCTTCGCAGGTGCTTTCGGGAAAAAAACCAAGTGAACGCGTGCGAGCCTCTGGCTGACTCAACCACCAACTGAGTCTTTGTGGCGTTGTGTTCAGGAATTCTTAGCATGTTCTGGTGTGGCTGAAGGAAGTGGACAGGAAGAGGGGAAACTAGATGACTTCATGGCGAAGAAAGAACACATGGCTAACGGAAACTTCCCGGATCCTCTAACTCTAACGCATCCTCCACTCCCAGAAATTGGTTGAAACATCTGTACAGGAAAACCCATCGCATTGGGGGTGAAAAACCATGGTCTTTTTCGGAAAACATCCCGAAGATGTTCAGTTCGCTTCCCGAGGTGGTGTGGTGCCGCCTCCACCCTTGGCCACCGCCCCGGCCACGTTGCGGGTGGCCTGGCAGAGTGGTAGAGTCCAAGGGCGTTTCAAGAGTCCGGGTGGTTTTCCCATAACCCAGACACTCCATGCATGCTGTATGCCGTATTTGCCTACCTTGGGGTGGTTGAAAAGGGCCATACATGGAGTGTTTGGGTAAGGGTTTGCAGGGTAAGGTTTCCCCGAGTTTTGGAGATGTAATAAAACATGGTAAAGTCATTCTGGTAAAACATAGTAAAGCCATTCTGGATGGATCTGGTGGCTTTCTTTTCACGAACTGTGGCAGATTTCAAGAGATTTGAAGAGCCCCTTGGTTCACCCAGCCTGCAAGGGCATTTCAGGTGATTTGGGTGCCGATGTTTTGTTCAATGGACACGATACGATGAGAATCCCTGGTTGTGGGGGGATTTATCTGTACTTTCCGGCCAGGTCACCAGATGGCCTGGCCACCCGCCAATCTTCCCAGAAGTTATTTTTCTCGATTCACCATGATGGTTCGAACTCCATGATGGTTCGAATTCACTCCGGTCCATGATGAACATGCAGCACGGCGCAGATGCTCGAAAGAAAACACCCGACGGGACGGGCAGGTAGGCAGGTCGGGCACTGAGGACGGACTTTTTCGGGCCCAAGATCGAATGATGGAAATTCCGTGAATTGTAGACTTGACTCATATGGTCATATGGCATGATAGATGCAAGATGCAACCCTCCCCAAGCTTTCCAATCCCAAATGGGGGGGATTTGGATGAATCAAGAGTCTCCAGACTTCTGGCGTCGAAATGGAGACGTTCCCTCAGATGGACTCACCACCCAGTCCTATCCGATGGGCGCCTGGTGAAGGCGCCCACCATGGCGTTGCCCCAGTTTACCGCGCCGGCCCGGCGACTTGGGGACGTGGGGGACGGGCGCTGCTTCGCACTGCATCGCACTGCTGCGGCTTCCGGCGGTTTCGGGGGAGACGGTTTGGAAGGGTGATGAGTCGGAGCAAGAAGCTAGGATCCTGGCATTCCTACGAACGGAACAAGGACGCTACGAACGCTTTTCTGGACGAAGGAAGTGAGAGGGATGATGAGGGATGTGTGCGAGCAGATGCGATTCCTCAACAGGCCCGTTGTGGAAGGCGATGAGCGGCCGAATGACTGATTCAGTCAACTTAGAAGAAAGAGGTTGTTTTTTCCCCTCCGTAAGTCGATGCAGATGTGGATCAACTTGTAATTCAGAATTTAATACGGATTTTTGACTCGAACCATCAAATTACTATGTGCCACTGTAGCTCTTGCTGTCTCGGCTTCTTGCTGTCTCGGCTTCATGATTTGGTGAACATGTGTAAGAGAAACCCTGGATTGATCAAGGGACTGCAACGGAGACAGCTCCATCCATGTGCATCACAAATCAAGAACTGACCAAGGCAGTAGATACCAGAACTGGGTGGTGGTTTCAGACATATATATATATATATTATATATACTGTATATTTTATTATATATAATATATATATATATATGTGTGTGTGTGTGTGTGTCCTTTTTCAATCCTACTACTTGGGACGATTGAACCCACTATAACCACCAACCAGAGAAGGCCTTGAGGTGTGCAATTTGTAGAACGTGGGCTATTTTCAGTGTCCTTGTGCAGGGTTCTTCCCACGAAAAAAGCACTTTGCTTCGCACACCAGACAAGAAACACGGTCTTCCGCCTAACCCGTGCGCAGCCCCCACGTGGACGACCGGGTCTTGTTTGCACACGGTTCAGGCTGCCCCGGCGTGGACTGGTGTCATCACCGTGGCCCGGGAGACCTGGCGGGATCAGGTTTGTTGGAGCCCTGTTTTGAGGGCGGATGTGTTGGCACCGGTGTTTGTTTTGAAGGGAGACGCGCCGTTTCGGGCGTTTCTGAGACGTCTTCTTATGGTTTCATGTACATATATGGTTTCAATATGAATGTCACTATAAGCAAATCCCCCCTCCCAAGAGGAACGAATCAAACGACCCAGAGAAGAAGCCGGTCGACCGAGCGGCGGGGTGAGGCCCGGAACATGGCGAAGAAGACGCCCTTCCGGGCCGCTCTCATCCAGGGGAAGGTCTCCGACGTGGAGGCCGGCCGAAAAAAGAAACAACGGGTGGAGAGGATGGCGAGCGTGCTGGAGCACCATGCGTCAACGTGGGGTTCAGGATTTTGCGACACCTTTAATATTCTATACCTGGACCTTTGGATGTCCTGGCTGGGAGGAGACTGCGTAAGGAAGGTGCTGGTATATATTTATATATGATTTTATAATCTTCTACATTATGAAATGCTTCCAGATGCTCCAGACTTGCCTCTAAGGTTTTGCTCTTCCTGATTTTTGAATCTCCTTGCCGGGTCTCCTTGAACGAAACCGTTCGACACACCGCAGCTTGCAGTCGCCAAGTCATGGATGGAAGATTTCGATCACAACTCCGAATGTATAGGGACTTTTCTAGGAAACAAACCTAATAGGTATAGACAAAAACAAGTATATATATATATATAGTCCCATCCCTTGAGACTCTCAGATGCCCAAGTTTACCCCTGGATCACATCCAGCACACGAAATGAAGCCGCCGAATGTACGCCGTTCCCAACACATGGGCGACCGGAGCTCGAAGTGCTTAAAGCATCATGACCCTACTGGGTCCAGTTGGACCCAGTAAAAGCCTGGTCCTGAAAACCTCCTTGAGTCGTGTTTTTGGATTAAACTTCAGTAACATGAGGTCCCACTGACCTGAGGTTACCAAAGGATGAAAGGGCGCGCAGCTTCGCCAAAAAACACGGCATTTGAAGGGGCCAATTCGCTTCTCGACGGATGCCAGAACTAGCACCCTAGTCTGCAGTCGATTATCGTCGATTCATGAGACCGGAGCACTCAAAAGGCAGATGAGACTTCATCGCTTCGCCCTCACACTCCTTCAATCTGTGTTTAAACAGATTGAAAAGCACCTGTTTTTTTTCACTTCCGGCAGCCCCAAAGCCACTCAACACCTCAGATTGCGACCGCACCGCACCCGCCATGGGTGCCCTCCTCTTCCGCGCGGCTTCGGAAGCCGCGGCGCCGGTGGAACGCGCGGTGGAACGCACGGAGCCAGCGCCGCGGTGGCTGCGGGCGGTGCGCTCGGCGGTGCCACTGCACTGCAACGCAACGAGCTGAGCTGTGCGAGTGAAGGGAGATGAAGGGGATTCGGTAGGTTTGAAGATGTGTCTTCAGTAGGATGGGAACGGCTTGGATTAGGATTGTTGTTGGGCCATCCTTGGAACCTGTAGTTGTTGGGGGCAGGAAGGTGATCAAGTCAGGAACTCCAATAACTTCCAACTACAAGTGCATCAAGTGCCACGCATGTGATCAGTGGCCTGGCACCTGAACACCCGTCACCTTCACAAGCACCAACTCACCTGGCCTTCCGCAAGCACTGCCACCTTCCTCTGCCACAGGCCTCGGCCGCTGTGGTCCCGCCGGTGGCGACGTCGCTGGGCCGAGTGCTGCGGCCACAGAGCAGCTTGGTCTTCGCGCGGTGCAGCTTCACGGCGCCGAGCTGTCCCGATGGACCCGCCGTGGTGTCCTGCCCCTGGAGTCGAGTCGGGTGGAACGTCCGAGGGGAGTGGTGTTGGTGGAGTCTGTGGTCAGAAGAAGGTGCAAAGAACGTCACTCATAGCACTAGAAGAAGGTACTCTTATGCAAACGGTATCAAACTTATAATCTATAGACTATAAATTCAAGCAGACATCATGAGCACTAGACAGGTGTGGCAGAGCAGGCCGTTGTAGTTGACGCTTTGCTGGCAGCAACCTTCATTCCTGCTTCAAGGCAGACACCGTCCGCGGACAGTGGTGGCTTACATGCACAACCTTACTTGAGATGTTGTGAGCCCACAGACGAATCTTTTTCGAGTTGAAGCCACCAACCAGAAAAGAGACAACCATGTGACTGTGACCATTCCCCAAAGAATCGAGCATTGCCGCTTTGCCCATCCCCGGCAACAGGTTTAAAGAAGTTGAGCGACCTCAGCCATGATTCCATGATATGATTCTTTCAGGTCTTCTATGGTTTTCTATGCAGCCCCTGTCGTAGAAGTCCACCGACGGTTTTTGGCACCACCGAACTACGGGAAACTCCTGACCGGGTCACCTGCTAGACACAATTTTTTGATTGTCTTGGACCAATGGACTTCTTGAGTGCACGTATAGTGTGGTGCAGAAGCATTCCTCGCCACCAATCAGCCCCATCCCCCAATCAGATCTCCGACCAGACCGACTCCCCGCCCGATGTTCTGTTCCCTTTTCGACCGGCAGGAGCCACCCGCCGTCTCCCCACATGGTTTAGTCGACCCACCCGCCGTCTCCCCACGAATGCCGGGTTCCAACTCCGTCGGCGTCCCGTTCCAACCGCCCCCCGCCGGCGAGTCGGCCTGGCCGCCGGCCGGCCCGGCCAGCCAGTCGAGCGTGTGGTCGATGTGTTTCGCCGCGGAGCTCCCAGGTAGTCGAACGGGCGCTGGTGGATACGGGTTCCTCCGACTGCGAGCTTCGTGAGGGGCTGCTCAAGAGGTTGCCGCCGCTGCCAGTGGTTGCGCGGGGGGTGCCTAAGCCTTCACCTGTGGGGGGAATCTGATGGCCTTAGCGGGTCTCCATAGAATTGGGGACTTGAAGCACCATCATTCACAGCCCGAATCCCGAACAACCATAGTAACCATAGTAGTTTTCCACTGCAAATAGCCAGGTCAACCTTGTTTTTAATGTTCTATATGAGCAGTGTTCTTGAAAGATATTTGAAGGCTAGGGTGTAAGCAGGAACAACGTCGTATTCAGAAACTGCGCTGTATTCAGAAACTAGTCACTGGTCTTCAGAAGATATTTTGTTGTATTCCGAAACTATTTTCGTTGTATTCAGGAACTCTACCGTGCAAGCAGATCCTTCAGAAAAGGCCCCATATGCCTGGCAAATACCTTTAAGATCTTCAACTGCATGCCAAGAACTGCACCATTTGCCTTTCGTTGGAAGATGTGCATGTGGATGAACTCCCCATTTTTGGCACCCCCTCTCACAAAACCTCAGATTCCAACAGGTCTCAAAACAACTCCCCTCCGAGGAGCTGCCCACCCCCCCCAGGTCACCTACGAAACCTCCACCGGCGACGAGGCGTACGACGCTTACGAGGTCCATGGGGGAAGTGTTGGTTCTTTTTCAACTTCCATCCAGGTGGAAGTTCGAAGCCTCCACCTTGGAGGTTCAAAACTGAGGGGGCCAGGGTGTATGGAAAAATGCCAAGCACGTTTGATTCATGGAATCCCCGGAGCTGTTTGGTCCATATACATTGATCGATGGATTTTGGGAGACTGGTCATCATGGAACTGAGTGGGCCGGTACATGCAACGACCAAATGAGAAGGACTGGGGGATTTGATTTAGTAGTCATGTCAGAAGCATTCAGACAAGTGTTGATGTAATCTAATTGGACTTCTGATGGTGGCCCGCTGGTGCATGAGAACTCGCCCCGTCGTCAGCATGTTACTCATGAATTCTGGCACACTGTCATGTGCCACCTTCATTTGTGCCTACCAGTAGCCCATTGTGATGGTTGGTGTGCATGTTCCTTGATGATTCTGGCGGGATCTCCATCACTTCTATACCATCAAAATATTATTGGAAAGATACTTTCCATCATCAAACATATACCACCAAAATACGTCTCCGCATATCCGGAAGCCCTTGACACTTTCCATTCACTTATCATACCCCATCGACTCCAACTAAACCCCCGCGGTGAGGTGGTACTCACCGTGAACGGCCGCCGCTGCGCGGCCGTGCTCACCGTGGTGCCCGAGGCGGGGGCCACTTTTTGTGTGTTTTCAACCCCAATGAGCGGGCAGAAGAGGCTGTTTTGCCTGCAGAAGGGGCTGTTTCTTGGGGAAAACACCTCCCATTTCAAACAACAGCCACTTCAATCACCACTGAAGCAAAGGCAGTACATGGGCCATAGGCATTGAAGTCTTGGCCCAACAACGCAGGGTCCAGTCCTTGGGGATTTGGGCACCACTGACGGCCGCAGCTCGGAACAGGACCCCAAAAATTGGGTCGGAAGGGATCCCCCATTTCCAGCAGTGGTCCAGGTTTGTGCGTGGGAAGCCTGGAAACTTTCGGGTCCGTGGTGGAATCTGACTGAACACTGTGGAACATTGGGGGCATGTAAAAATATAATCCACTACCCCTACCTGTGGAGTGAAATGCTGTAAAGACTCACATTGTGTAAATGGCAGCTTTCCAATTGGCTTGGTTCATCACTGTTTTTCCGTCCTTTCCTCATCTTTCCTCCCCTGACTGCACGATGTCGCGCCCATTCACGGCTGGCCCCTCTTTCTTTGGGGGGGGGTCCCAAACGCAGTCCCCAAGGAAGTAGGTGAGGCTTTGGCCAGTTCAGGAGCTTCTGACTTGCGGAGCGATCTCCCACCGACCTGAGTACCCCTCAAAGCTCCCTGCGGGGCGGGCAGGAACGCTTCTCGGCACATGCGGACGAGCCTTGTTCGGACGAGGCGCCGGTGTGGAGTGGGGGAGTTGGCCGGCTGGCGAGGCGAACGAAGGGTTTTTAACGTGATGGGCTTGGAAAGAGTTTGGAGCAACTGGCCACCCTCAAAAGCCCATGTGTGATTTCATTTTGACGCTTTGGTTTGGCAATCTCAGCAGTAGTTGAGTGAAATGAGGAGAAGATCCTATCCCTGTACCCATCCCTTGGGAGGAACTGAAAAGGCACGTTTTGTACAGAGGGGTTCTCCAGGAATCAGCTTCCACCGGGCTCACCTTCCATAGCATGATTTGCTTCCGGAGTTTATTGGCTTTCCGAAGGTTGACAGATTGACAGGTTGCGTTTCAACCATCCCGTGATCGTTCTTGTTGGCTTGTCCTATAGGCTCCACTTGGCTTGGAGAATTGGTCAACGCCTGGGAGAAAAAGCAGGAGAAAACCCTAAGCTTCCAACCACCATTCACTTTAATAGGCTTTTCCGAATCAACGAAGTAAGGACTTTTACACTACTGCGGCGTCGACCGACCCGTTACCACACCTACAAGGTGAGAGTGGGCCCGAAGCGGGTGTTGATGGAGGTCGGTTTCAAGCTCCAAGGGTCGAGCAGAAAGATCCGCGGAGAGGATTGGAACGCATGTTATACAAACATCGCTCTTAAACATGTCCCTCCAAGTCAAAGGCCTCGTTTTACTGGGCTCTATTTTCTGCAAAACTGAGCAAAAGTTGACCTCCAACAACTTTTCGTGGAAATGGTGGAAAGCAGGACTTTACTCCGTAAAGGACGTCTTTTCCTTTGGCAATAATAAGAAGTAAAAAAACGTCCTTGACTCAGTGAAAGACGTCTTTTACTTGGCAAATGGTAAAAGTAAAAGACACTTTTAACTTTATACATATACGGTGCACATATACATGGCACGATAATTGTCTTTCAACATGCTGCACCGCTGGCTATCCAGGAGCGTTTTGCTCTTCAAGGACCCTTGCTTATCGCGCGAACATCGCACAGACACTGCACCGCTATAGCTATAACTATTTGTGGCAACAAGCGCATGCATCTCATATAAGTGGCGCCCAGGCTGCTAGAGTATTTTAATATGAAGCAAGGTCGATGCGTTACAACACAGACAACGCATGTGGTTGAAATTGGCCGTTTCTGGCCCGGACATGGGACCGTGACTCTACCTATAAACCACGAAGTTTTTGACGTCCTTTACTTAGTAAAGGACGTCAAAAACTTCGCCATGGACATCATTGGGCGTGACTCTAGCGTGACTCTATAGCCTGCAAGCTTCTAATGCGATTTGACGATGAGCTGTCATCGGCTTGAACAATGCACGCGTGCAATTGCAAGCAGCAAACATGACTCCCACGTAGCCACGTATATCATGGCAATGTAGTCGATGTAGTTGGCCAATTGAGCAAACAACGCGCGCAAAAAAAATACATGGACTTGCGTAAGGCATGGCGCCGCTAAAAGTGAGCGTATGGGTACCATGTCTCCGGTATGCATGCACATATATGTATGTATAAGGACCATCCAACCCAAAAGAATGTTCCATGGAAATGGCCTTAATGCCCAAAGAATTTTTCGTGGAAGTGGTGACCTTAATGCCCAAAGAATCTTCCGTGGAAATGGTGACCTGAAAGTTTTTGAAGGTCAAAGAATATATATAGTACCTGATTCGGCGGTTCTTCCGTCAACGGCACCCGGTCAGAGTTTTTTTCTCACCCCGTCAGCAGCGAAGCAGCCTGCCGTGCGAGGCCTTGCTGGGGCATATGGCCATTGCAGCGCTGGGTTTGGATGTGCACTGCCGGCAGCGCAGCATGCTCCAGGCTGAGGTGCGACGATCCTGTACTGCCCGCGTGCAGGTCTCGGACGTTGGATCCGAAGAACGCACATCACCGAAGTCTTCAGGGACGTGCAAATCAGGATGGCCCCCCTGCTTCACGATCCTCTTCCCTCAAACAGATGGTGAACTCCACACCTCGAGGCTCCAAACCCCGGCGCTTTGGCCCAGGAGATGCCCTCCGAAGCACGGCCGCTGCCTGAAGGCCCGGACGGACGGACTGCTTCCGCGGTGTGGTTTTGGTCCAGTTGGCCGTAGCGATGTTGGGGAGAAATCAAGAACCCCCAGTGGCCCCAGTGGTTGGCCTCCAGGTCCACCAGTGACTGGATTGATGGGTGATTGGTTTAAGGTCCAAGGTGCCAGAGGCACTCACACCCACGTGAACAGTGCACATCATTGATTTGGTTGACTTTGTGTATGATCCTTGGGCACGTTTTTTGTTGGGATGCGTGGCCATGCCTCCGCATGTGTTGGGTTGAGGCATTGGTCGTACTTTTACTTATGTCACAGTCGTTGGGCAGGATAAATCATCATCCATTCATTATCTTTCATTTCTTTCCAGTTTTTTTGTGTGGAAGGCTACTTGGCTGGGCACATATCGTCTAGAGTGATGTGAGCACCCAACGACCGCGAGAACGCACCTAACAGCAGCCGGCCTTCGGCAGGCGAACTGGGCCAGCTTCATGTCGCCAGCAGCCGGCCCTATGGCCTTTTTGGCACCGCCCTTGCTGAGAAGAGTGGTGTGCACGTGACGGCTGTACCGGTGGGGCAGTCCCTTCGCCGTACCGTTTCGTTTTTCGTGAACGTGCGACACATAAGGCAAGTCGTGGCAAAATGGTACATGGCGTGCTTTGTTGGTTTGGCTGTTTGTTTGTTGGTTTGGTTCGTAGATTGTTTGTTGTCATTGCAGCCGTCGGTGCCTTTTTTCAAAATTCTTGAAAAACAGCCATGGGTCACCATGAGCAGCATCCACTGTTGCAGGAAATGGGGTTTACATGGCAATGGATTTACTAGAAATGGGTGCATGATCTCTGTGTCGATTCTGCAGGCGGCCTGCCAAGGCTGTCCGTTTGGACGTCTTTGGGAACGGGGATTCTTGCCAGAGTTCAGTTTATTGTTAAAAGAATTGCTGGATGGACCTGGACAGATCAGGGCATGAAGCCTTGGATGCGACAGAGCCGGCACCGTCGAGGCGATCAGGTCGGCGCGGGTCCACTCGTCCGGACCCTCCTCCCGTCCGTCTGAGGCTTTGGACGACCTACCGCCACGCGGTTCCGCGCGGAGGCGAACCCCGCCTGCCGCCGCGCTGGTTGCCGGGCACCGGCTGCGCGGTGCCGCTGTGCCTGGGCGACCTGCAGCGGGAGCCGCAGGCGGCGCTGGAGGAGCTGGTGCCATGGTGAAGCACTGGGAGGAGGTGCCTGGAATGAGGTGGATGAGCGGTGAGGGAAGCCTTTTGGGCTGCGAAACAAGCCCTGAGCTCATGGCAAACACCTCCCAGCACCGCATGTAGTGTGGCACTGGAGTGTGGTGACCAGTGACCTGTCTTGTCGCACGGCTGGGAAAAACAAAGGTGGAGTCAAAAGGAAACGGCACCTCGCAAGACGGAATCCTTCGCATCTTGGCATGCCACCGCTGTTGTAAGACACCCGTCAACAACCTTCGCAAAAATGCTATGGCGATCTTCCAGGACCCTCCAGTCGACGTGCCCTGTCTGGAAGCCTAGGCTGGTAGTGTGGGGTAGTCCAGCCAGGACACCCCGACAGGAGGGTCCAGGTTGGCATTCAGGTGTTTGACTTATATGGATTCCTCGTGCAGTCGAAGCAACGGGTGTCGAGTCGTTCCTTCAACACGGCCGTTCGCACCGAGGACCCCCATGGAAAGCCGGTGGTGCCGGTGACCTATGCCACTTGCGGCTTGGTGCGCATGGGGAGAGAGAGAGGGAGAGAGAGAGAGTGCACAACAGCGGCTTCCTGGCTCCTCTGGACATGTTCCAAGAAACGTATAGATTGGGAATTGTTTCTCGCAATTTGAGGATGACTTCCTGAAGTCCACATGGTGTCAGCCCGAGGCTTTCGTGGACTATATAAGAATGTCCCAAATCTCCTGAATCGCACACGTGGGTGGATGTGGGTGATGCCCAGCAGGGTGGGGAGACAAATTCAACGGAGTCAGAGTCAAGGCGCGGAAGGTGATGAACACGCGCATCGTTTTAGACGAACATGACATGCACCGGTGTGGTGATGAAATATGGACATTTGGGATAGGGAATTGAAAGTGGAATTGACGGTTTGACAGTTGCATGCTGCACTTTACCCCTGAACTTTTGCTCCCGCACGGAGCGAGCAATTTGGAGCCATGGAACGTGGGCGGGTCATTCGGGGGCGGTGGGTCTGGCCGTGGCCATTTCCCACCAGACCTTCATAGATAGGCTCATGATAACTCACACCTGGCCACACAGCATAGAGCCAACACAGGTTTGGCAAATTGTGAAGCTACAATCCATAAAATCATTACGCAAGACGCAAGTGTTTGAAGACGTTCTGTCGGATGGCAACCCGCCAAACACGATGCTATGGGTGTGTATTTTAATAGGGAGACCCCTGGCCCAATGGGTTTTGAGTCTATTTTCCTTCTTTCAGGGAATCTTTAGGCAGGTCTCCGTATTTCAATGCACATCCACATGTTCAGGCACATAGAGTCATAGAGAGCACACATCCCCTTGAAAACAGATGTTGGGGCACGGCTCATCCTCTTTCAAACCACACCTGCCGACGTCCGGTCAAAAAAACCTCGGTCTTCACCGACTTTTTTGAGGTCATTTCCTGTCTCCGTTGTCGCCGGACTTGCGGGTGTCGGTGAAGATGGCGCTGGTGGACACCGGCTCCTCCGATTGCGAACTGAGTGCCCTGGAGGCTGATGGGTTGGACGCCCTTTGTGGATTGTTTTGGCGCCTGTTTGACGTGTTGGTGATACCTTTAAGGCCATAGGCAGGGGTCCAGCGTTGTTCGGGCCATGGGCGGCGTTGGCCTTCACCCCGAGATGGATCTGATCTGCCGTTCCAACGGGCCGTCCACTCACTGGACTAGGGTCTAGCCCTAGCCGTTCCTACGGAACTGCTGGATGCTGGTGGTGTATCTCTTTTTCTGTTCTCAGGTGAGCTGGGTGAGTTGGGAGTGTGTGTGGCACAGGGCATCTGCACGGGAATCCTCTCATTCTTAAGACCGGCCCATCTTCAACTTGAAGCAGAAGGCAGTAATTAGAGCTTGACAGTCGAACCCTTTAGGCTTGGAACATGCCCACCATTTCTGTGCATGTATAGTTGCTCCTTTTTGTAAGATGTTTGGCGCCAATGAGCCCAGCCTTCTAAGGACAAGGCCTGCTGGATGCTCGGAGCGAATTGGATGCGCGGAGCGAATGACATGGGCAGATTCTTTGACGTTGCGGTTCTTCCTGCGGTTCTTCAGCCGTTTCAGAAAGGGATTGATTCAGCAAGCGAAATGACTCAGCTCCGGAGCTGCTTCCCAACACTTTGGTCCGGACCCATCCAGGATGCCAACGAAAACACTTTGGGAGCAAGTCGGGAGAATGGGGGATTGGGCGTGGGATGCGGGACAGTCTTTCCAGACTGTTTGGGTCTACACTGAGTTGGCACACCCCAAATCCTTGCCAAAGATCTTGACTAGAGTCTTGACTAGCTATAATATGCAACCTGGCCCAGTGATGCAACCTGCTGGCTGGCCAGGTGGGTCCAGGTTGCAAGTCACCAACCGAACTCCTTTCAACACCCTCCAGGCTCCAACAAGGCACACCTTTTCGGGGGACGGATTGCTCCAACTCCATTGGACCCACGGAACATCATCCCGCCCCCCCCCCCCTACGACCCCGCGCGTGTGTGCGGACGACCCTGTTCAAACCCCTTGCACAGTTGGTTCGCTCAAGGGACGTCCCTCCCAGCCGGGTGGTCTCTCAGGATCGCCTGGGCCGTTTGCCCACGGTGGCACAGGGAGTGGTCTACGAAACGGTCTGTGGTCGCCATGTCTTCGACTCCTACGAGGTCCCGCGGACCCGAGCTTAACAAACCTCGGAGCCGTTTTGAGAGTTCAAGACAAAAACCGGAAGCAAACCACAGGTTCGGTTTCTAACAGCAGACGCATTCAAAACACTTCCATGTTTTTGGGTTGCTTTTTAAATGCCTTTCTACATCATATACTGATACTGGTTCTTGAATCCGCCAGGCTGTGGTTCAAGAATTTGCCGCCATGAGAGGGATCCCTCTCACACTCAGGGATTTGGTACCGTGTAGACCACTTGAGGAAAGGGACCGGACACTGATGGATGGACGGGCAACCCTTTTAAGTCACCCGCTCCAGCCAGCCTCAAGTGCTTGGGGACAGCCGCGGTTGCATGAAACCTGGAGTTCTTTTTTGGGGACAGAACCACCATAATGGTCAAAAAAGACGTCGAGCACCTCACTGACCTTACCACTTTCAGCTGACCTCCAGGCCAATCAAGCCACATCAAGCCACCGGGTCTCGCTGGCCCGGTCTGTTGTGCTCGCCAGGTGCTGCTGGCCATCGAGGGCCGCGTGTGCGCCTGCGCGGTCACCGGCGTGCCGGAGGAGCGCTTCCACGTTGGTGCCGAGGACCCGGCCTCGGACGAGGCGGCTTCGGGGAGTGGAGCGATGAACGGAGTAGCTCGAATCCAGGAGTAGCTCGGAGTCAAAAAGCCATGAGTCAAGCCTCCGGTGATTTGTTGGGAGGTTCTGACGGTCGATTGGTGATGATGGTGTGTTCTCTGCAGGAGATAATTGTAGAAAGAATGTGGAATCTATGTTTGCTGACTGAGTGTGCTGCTCGTCCTGCAGACTGACGGCTCCAGGCAGTCAAGCATGTTTGGTATTTGTTAGTCTATGTCTGGCAGTCCAGTAGCAACTCCCTTTCCCAACCTCCAACCCTTTAACCGGCTGTGTCACCCTCCTGAACGAGGCCGTTTTAGGCCTGGCTGCCTTGTCCGCCTTGGACTTGGTGGTCCATTGCCGCGCGCGCGCGGTGGCCGCCCGACGTCGCGAAGCCCCGTGACGGCCAAAAAGGGCCGTTCGCAGCGGCGTTCGTGGCTGCCGCCTCACGTGATCACATGGTCCTTGAGGATTAGTGTAGTCTTCGAGAACCACTGACTCCAGGGGTGGGTGGACCAGCTTTCTTTACAAAAGATGTTACATTCGCATGTGTTGCCTGGCCACATCCAAATTGTTAGGCCTGGAGTCTGCAGATACTGCTCAAGCACTGTCACATAGTGTTTCTGTGAAACAGCATTACGCAATGAGAGCCTTGTGGATCACCTTCTGCGCTTGCTTGATGCACTCAGATGCATTTCGCGAGAGTGTCGTCGGCAATGCGACCGGCTTGGGCGATGGAGCAGATTGCACCTGTGGGAAGAAGCCCCTGAAGGACAACAAATGCTGCGACCCAGGTTTGATTTGCAGTAAGAGTGCTGGCAAGTGCAAGCCCGCATTGAAGGGAGAATGTGACCGCAAGTGGATCGGGACCAACTGCGCCGTCAGCACTTACGGACGGTACAATGGCATTTCATGCAGAACGTTGCTTGGTGTGCATCTGCCTTTTTCGTTGTGATAAGTTGCGGTTGTTCTTCTTGCTTCATTCGTCCAATCGATTCATGGACTTCGCTGTTCCATATGGAGTTTATGAGTGGATGTTTTTTGTGACGCCGACCGTGGGCACAGCTAGGTACTATGCAGCTACAGATGGCCAGAAGCACTGCTGTGTCCATGGCCTACCAATGATGATTGAGTATGACAAAGCTTACCAATACGCACCAGTGGGTGGTGACAAGACCACCTGTTGCAGTGGAGAGGTTAAGTGGTCTTCCTGGGCTGTGGACCTGAAAGGGAAGCACGATGGATACTACTGCAAAGGAGGCTAGACTGGAGGCTGCTGTGGTGTTTCTGCATTTTGTCGGAACACGGCGCGGTGGTTTCGTGGAAAAGGCTGGTGCAGGCAGAGTAAAGGCCCTCCCCGTCTCAGGAATCCCTACACCCGATTTCGTGAAGTTGTGTGCAAATATTTTTAATCTATATTGTTTTTATTTCTCTCGTGTGGCTGATATACTTATTATACTTGTGAACAGTAACTTGGAAGTGGCTCATGGCTCATGGCCCCTGGGAGTACGTGCATGAACAATTGCCCAAAGGGTTCACCCATGAACAAAAGATGCGACACGATGTGTTAGTTGCCTGGCCACATCCAGATTGTTAGGCCTGGAGTCTGCAGATACTGCTCAAGCACTGTCACATAGTGTTTCTGTGAAACGGCATTACACAATGAGAGCCTTGTGGATCACCTTCTGCGCTTGCTTGATGCACTCAGATGCAATTCGCGAGAGTGTCGTCGGCAATGCGACCGGCTTGGGCGATGGAGCAGATTGCACCTGTGGGAAGATGCCCTTGAAGGACAACAAATGCTGCGACCCAGGTTTGATTTGCAGTAAGAGTGCTGGCAAGTGCAAGCCCGCATTGAAGGGCGAATGTGACCGCAAGTGGATCGGGACCAACTGCGCCGTCAGCACTTATGGACGGTACAATGGCATTTCATGCAGAACGTTGCTTGGTGTGCATCTGCCTTTTTCGTTGTGATAAGTTGCGGTTGTTCTTCTTGCTTCATTCGTCCAATCGATTCATGGACTTCACTGTTCCATATGGAGTTTATGAGTGGATGTTTTTTGTCAAACCTAACCGTGGGCACAGCTAGGTACTATGCAGCTACAGATGGCCAGAAGCACTGCTGTGTCCATGGCCTACCAATGATGATTGAGTATGACATAGCTTACCAATACGCACCAGTGGGTGGTGACAAGACCACCTGTTGCAGTGGAGAGGTTAAGTGGTCTTCCTGGGCTGTGGACGTGAAAGGGAAGCACGATGGATACTACTGCAAAGGAGGCTAGACTGGAGGCTGCTGTGGTGTTTCTGCATTTTGTCGGAACACGGCGCCGTGGTTTCGTGGAAAAGGCTGGTGCAGGCAGAGTAAAGGCCCTCCCCGTCTCAGGAAGCCCTACACCCGATTTCGTGAAGTTGTGTGCAAATATTTTAAATCATATTTATTGTTTTTATTTCTCTCGTGTGGCTGATATACTTATTGTACTTGTGAACAGTAACTTGGAAGTGGCTCATGGCTCATGGCCCCTGGGAATACGTGCATGAACAATTGCCCAAAGGGTTCCCCCATGAACAAAAGATGCGACATTCGCATGTGTTAGTTGCCTGGAAAATCCAGATTGTTAGGCCTGGAGTCTGCAGATACTGCTCAAACACTGTCACATAGTCTTTCTGTGAAACGGCATTACGCAATGAGAGCCTTGTGGATCACCTTCTGCGCTTGCTTGATGCACTCAGATGCAATTCGCGAGAGTGTCGTCGGCAATGCGACCGGCTTGGGCGATGGAGCAGATTGCACCTGTGGGAAGAAGCCCTTGAAGGACAACAAATGCTGCGACCCAGGTTTGATTTGCAGTAAGAGTGCTGGCAAGTGCAAGCCCGCATTGAAGGGCGAATGTGACCGCAAGTGGATCGGGACCAACTGCGCCGTCAGCACTTATGGACGGTACAATGGCATTTCATGCAGAACGTTGCTTGGTGTGCATCTGCCTTTTTCGTTGTGATAAGTTGCGGTTGTTCTTCTTGCTTCATTCGTCCAATCGATTCATGGACTTCACTGTTCCATATGGAGTTTATGAGTGGATGTTTTTTGTGACGCCGACCGTGGGCACAGCTAGGTACTATGCAGCTACAGATGGCCAGAAGCACTGCTGTGTCCATGGCCTACCAATGATGATTGAGTATGACAAAGCTTACCAATACGCACCAGTGGGTGGTGACAAGACCACCTGTTGCAGTGGAGAGGTTAAGTGGTCTTCCTGGGCTGTGGACCTGAAAGGGAAGCACGATGGATACTACTGCAAAGGAGGCTAGACTGGAGGCTGCTGTGGTGTTTCTGCATTTTGTCGGAACACGGCGCGGTGGTTTCGTGGAAAAGGCTGGTGCAGGCAGAGTAAAGGCCCTCCCCGTCTCAGGAAGCCCTACACCCTTTTTCGTGAAGTTGTGTGCAAATATTTGCAGTTATATACATATATTATATGTTTTTTGTTTTTCCTTCTTTTCGAGGCAACGTTTGGATTGTGGACCTTTATGACGTACTGCTGTACTGCTTTGATCCTTGTGGCCCTCAGTGATCCTTGTGGTGACTTCCAGGTTTGTGCGACCGGAGACCGGAGACCGGACGCACCGTGCGCCCGTGCCGTGCCGCAGCCGTGGTCGGCGTGAAAGGTGGCCTTGAGGTCGGCTGCGGCCAATGCCAGTGTCGCAGTGGGGGGTCCCGGAGTGTTGGAGAGGGGTAAGTACTCCTACTCATCCCGTGAAGGAACTTCTACAGTCGTTTCAGAGTAATTAGATGGCACAGACCTCAAGATGTCCTTTACACGGGGGTTCTACTCTCAATCCACTATATGAATTTCTGCTTAGTGTCATATCTTTTGAGGATGATTTTCTCCAATTGTCAGCATAATTAGGGTGAGCATCTACCCTACCCAAAGAATGGACCCTTTTCATGCCTTTTCCACGTTTTCCGTGTGTGTGTGTGTGCATGTGTGTGTGCCCCTTGTAGTCACAGGGATTCGTTTGAATTGTTTTTGTGCTTAGCAGGGGGGCAATGAACTTGGAAGGCATTGCCCAACGAAGACCCTTCCATCGTGTTGTGATATTCCTGAGGGACGCCTCGGGAACGTACCTGCAACAATTTTTAAAGTTTGCGGCAGTCACGCACGGAACGCCGTCACTTCGACCTGATCGCCGACCTCGACCTTGTGCTTTGGGCCTCCTTTCCTTTTAAGACCTCCAGGATTCGATGGCTTCCTACTGGTACTCTTAGGAAATGGAACCCTAGGCCGGCGTGTGGCACCGCTATCAGTTCAGTATGCATATCCATAAGTGTGTTTGGCCTCGTGCCAACCCGGGATGAGCCCGCAGAGTGCCTCCCGTGGACCCGTCGAACGGGGGTTTGTCGTTATCTCCCCTGCCTGGAGATGTAAGTGCCCAGAGCGGGCGTAGGTGGCCCAGGCCGAGAGAATTCAGATTTTTGTTTCATCTTTGGAATTGCAAGTTGGTTCATGCCTTTACGTGACCGCAGCGGTCTAAGCAGCCAGCCATTTTGGCACGGCGTACGTGGCCGCAGCGGCCAAAGCTTGTTCAAGGCTCATTGGAACCTGTCGCGAGCTTAGTCCCCCTGCTTCCCCTTCCCTCCCCTTTCTCTCTTTGCTTTTTGGGGTTTTCCTGAATGGAAGACTCAGGATCACCGCTTTCTTTCTTTGGTGTGTCCCTGGACGATTGTTCGTAGCTGGGAACACCTGCCTTTTCCTTTTCTCTCCTCTCCCTTTCTCTTTCTTTCTTTCTTTCTTTCTCTCTTTCCTCTCCACATTCCTTCCTCCTTGGGTGTCCCTGGATGCTTTTGTCATAGCTGGGAACCCTTCTCCGCTCTTCTTTTGGTGTGTCCTTGGACGCTTGCGTCGTAGCTGGGAACACCTTCCTTCCTTCTCTTTCCTTTTTCTCGTCTCTCCCTACCCCTCCCTCCTGTCGGGACCTTAGCTTGGGTTGCTACTAGGGACTCCTGGCCTTCCTACTAGGTGCTAGGTCGCTACTTTGACGCTACTAGAGGTTCCTGGCCTTGCTACTACTTTGTCCGCACCTTTTGGCGCGGAGCTTAAAACATGCCTCCCTTCGGGGAGGCGTGTGTGTGTGTGTGCCCCTTGTAGTCACAGGGATTCGTTTGAATTGTTTTTGTGCTTAGCAAGGGGGCAATGAACTTTGGAAGGCATTGCCCAACGAAGACCCTTCCATCGTGTTGTGATATTCCTGAGGGACGCCTCGGGAACGTACCTGCAACAATTTTTAAAGTTTGCGGCAGTCACGCACGGAACGCCGTCACTTCGACCTGATCGCCGACCTCGACCTTGTGCTTTGGGCCTCCTTTCCTTTTAAGACCTCCAGGATTCGATGGCTTCCTACTGGTACTCTTAGGAAATGGAACCCTAGGCCGGCGTGTGGCACCGCTATCAGTTCAGTACGCATATCCATAAGTGTGTGTGTGTGCCTCTTGTAGTCACAGGAATCCGTTTGGATTGTACTTTTGACTCCGTTTTCCTTTTTGAGCAGGGGTGCTGGTTGTTCATGCAAGTGCCAGCCCAACGAAGAGGCTTGCATTGAACACTGATATTATGAGAATCTTACAGCCACAGACTGGGGGTTGACAAAATATTTAGTTTTTCATTTTTCGTTTTCATCATCATTTTTTCATCCCCATCTGTTTGTTTTTCACGTGCATCATTTTTTTCATGCCCATCTGTGTCTATTCGTTTTGTCCAAGCAGTGTGGGGTCCGTCTCAGCCGGACAGTTGAGCTCAGATCCGTTGAGCTGCTTGGGAACTGGGAACTGATGCGTGAGACGTTCAGGTCCCAGTGGCTCCCGGTCAACAAAAGCTGCCCCCATCCACTCATAGGTAGTGTTGAACTCACTCTCTGTTTCATTGGAACCATCTTGAAAACACCGGGTTTTTTTTTGGTCTCTCTGCCCGTCTCCGCCCGGTCAACACCGGCTCAGGATATCACCCACCGAGTGCCCTTCGACGAGGTCGGCAAGAAGGCGGGCCCGGCGACGTCCGCGGGGTACGGACCTCGCCACCGTGAAGGTCGTGGAGGGCGACGCCGTTGGGGGTCTGGACCACCCGATGAAAACGGGGTCCCAAGAACCGGAAACCCGTAGAACTGGCCGCCCGCGCCGACGTGGAGGGTTCGACCGGAGCTGAAAGCCCCCGGGTAGGGCGGGGGATGGTTGGAGAGATCTTGAGAGCGCACTCCGACTCACTCGACATGGAAGTCGAACCCCGTCCTGTTTGTGAAGGAAAGGATGGAAAGGGATCCATTTTCCAGTTCCATGTTGATGAGGTTTTGAGTGCAAACCAGGCATGAAACCACGGTGCATCCAGACGGCGCATCCGCGTGAGGTCCATGGTTCTTCGATCCTGTCGCTCTACCCGCAGGGAGGCCAAGTCTAAATCGATATGGACATCTATTTTGGAAAGCTCTACCTTGAAATCGATGTGGACATCTACAAATCCCACAGATTTTGTTGATTGGGCCTGTGCAGCTGTGTTTGCGCCCTGCCGGCTTCGCCACCAGCAGCCCCGTCGCCGGAAGCCGGACCGCCGAGGAATAGCTTGATGGAGCAGGTGTGACCGACGAATCGCCCGACGGGCCCGGAAGCCATTCATGGTGGGCGGTTCTCCGTGACCACGAGACCCGAACCGGCCCCCAGGACCCCTTACCTATAGCCTGAATCCCGAACCGCCTGTTATTTGTTTTTACACTATAAAACGAGGTTAACAATGTAAGACAATGCGAAAACGATGATATGATGCAAAAGAAGGATTTTGCACTACAAAACGAGGTCAACCATTTTCCAAAAGGTCTTTGGCCAGGGAGACTTTTTTAGAAGGAAGTTCCCGAGCTGTCAGGAGGGCCACGTTTAGGGGTTGTGGATAGAATAAGGAACCACCCAGGCTGAGCAAGCTGATCATGATGTTGTTACTTTGTTTTATTGTTGTTTTCCTCTATGTTTTTCTTGGATGAGTTCATCCGTAAGCTATTAATCAAGCACACGCTGCCGCTTGATTCTCCGTTCCAGTCTGGGGGGTGGTGGTTCAGGAGGGACGTGAGCGTTTGGCGGTTTTGGGAGGCCCGATTTCGTCATGGGCGAGCGACCCACACCCCACAGCAGCCCCTTTTCTTTTCCCCTTTGGACCCTGAGATTTGAGGGCTCTAATGGGCTCAGCCTAGGGGTGATGAAGCACCACTTAACTGTGAGCGGCGCTGCGCGGAGAGCGAAAAAAGGGGAGGCCCAGCTGGCCCGAGCTGTTGGCGCGTTCAGGCGAGCTTTGAGGAGTACAACAAGTGAGGGGTCCCAGAGAGAACCTGCTTGGCACTGTGGTCGTACTATACACACCGTAGCAGGTCGGCCACACCGTGCCGGTGCGAAAAAAGCCTTCCAAGACCAGCTGATTTGGTAGGTGCATCGTGGCGCCCGCGCCCGCTGACAGAGCGCGGCCGGGGAGTGGCCTGAGATGCTGCGGATTTGGGTTCATGAAACCTCACAACCTCAGTGAAGCCAGTCATCCATCATCGCTTTGCAGTTGGTACATTTTGATACCGCACCTATAGTACCGCACCGAGATCCTCCAACTATTATGCAAAACTTCCTTTTCATTGATGAACACCCACCCGGAGAGGCGGACAGGGCGTGCGTGCATGGCGGGAAGGGAAGGGTCTGCCGGTCGTTCCTACCGGGTCCGTCCACGCGGACCGTGGCGTTCCGAGGTACTTCCGAAGCAAAAGCCGTGCCGGCGTCGCCCGGCTCGACGAGTCGTTGGCGCTGTATGTGATGCCCGCTGGGGAGGAGGGACGGGACGTGTGATTGAGCGAGAGGGCGCGAGAGGGGCCCTTTTGGGGATTGGAACAGTTTCCGTGCTTTCGCAGTTTGGATGGGAAGGAGTTGTGATGAGTTAAGTTAAGCCCATGGTTTCATTTTTGAGTTCCCATCTCGTGAGCGGATGGGAACGCAGGTCCATATTCTATATACAAAAGCCCTGGGGCACCAACAGCCTTAATTTAAAGGTCGGTTGTCCTAACCACCATTTCACGCAAGACTTGGGTGCCTACTTCCAATTCACGCATGTCAGTATCCGA